GGGGGACTGATAATCCCACTAGGCTGGTGTGGGCTGCAGGTCTTCGTAGCCCAGCACTAGATCAGGGGAGAGGTAGAGAGACAGAGAGGATGACGTAAAGGCAGAGGAAGGGCCTCCCTCCCCTTCAGACCTGGAGTCTGTTGCCTGACACAGAGCCCGCCTGTGGCCCAGCAGTGCCTTTTAGCCCCTGCAGAAAGCATTCCTGCTTTATAGCCTCTGCCAAATGAAGCACAAACTTAACTACATCACCTTCCCGACAGGACTGGGGAGGAGCTGGGGGTGGCGTGCTGGGCGTCCTCAGCCCCCAATCTACTCACTGGCATGGGTCATTTCAATTATGGACTGCAGAGTGTGGTGGGGGGCGTGGCTGCTCATAAATGGCTCCATGCTGTCGATCAGCTAATTATGAAGCTCTTACTGTCTCGGCAGGTAAGTAACTCGGGACTGAGCTGTTCCAGCTGCTGACATGGAATCTGAGCCGGGGAACAGGAGAGGGTAGACTAAGCTTGACAGGGATTTCCCTGAGGTGATCTTGACTGAGGTGGGGTCTGGGGGCACAGATGGGGCTGCAGGGAGGAAGGGCCAGCCTTTCAGAGGGAACACGGGAACTGGGGTCTCTACCCTGGAGTGACCATCCGCCATCCAGGAATTAGTGGAGGAACTCCAGCTCTGAAGTTTTCTAGAAGCCTCAGAGCCACAGGCTAAAGCAAAATGTAAGCCCCACCCACGTTTACTAACCTTGCCTTTAGATGTATAGTTAGATCCCTGAGAAGTGAGAGGATCTGGGGAACCCTGAGGCTCAGTTGAAAGAACTAATTCTATCAGGGTCACATGTCACACTGCTTCCCCTCATGGCGGCTCTTTCCTTTGCTTCCTGGCTCTGACCCCTCCAGGCTGACAGTCAGACGACAGGAGACTTGCTGTGGCATAGGGATTTAAGATGTGAGAGGCCCAGCTTTCTTTACCAGGACAGTGCCTACTGCTCCAGGACAACTGCAGAGGAAAGGGAGACCCTCGGCCACCTGACTGTGGAGGCCCAGGCAGGTCATCATAGCAGCACTCAGAATTTACCGTGAGACACAAATGATAAATTGAGGTCTGCCTGGCCAACCTGGGACTGTGCTTAGCTAACTCATTGTTCTAGACATCAGTGAAGTCCCCAGCACTGGGGTTTTCTTAGTGGGTGCTGAAACTACTTTAGATTCTGGGAAACAGCAGATGGTAGGAGCATTCACAGCTGGGAGAATCCCATTTTTGCTCTGTTCCTCAGTTTCTTTCCTCTATGAAACAGGAATCATAAAATTTATGAACATTTGGAGGGGTTGAGCTAAGGATGCTCTGTAAATTAGGGGTGCTGGCACCCTATGTTTCTCCACTGCAGAGGGACACTATTCCAAGAGGAGGTCTGTAGCGCCATGTGTTAATAACACCATTGTTTCAGGATACAGACCTGACCCTGGGGCTTAGAATGAGTGCCTGGCTGCCAGTTGAGATCAGGGCCACTTGGCACTAGACAGAGAAAGTCTACACTGGGCACTAGCTCAGTGGCCAGGTCTCATTCCTAACGGGCTGTTACTTAGAGGCTGACAGAAAGGGCCTGGGCGATGCAACATGGGAGCGGAGTGAAAGTGAGTGTGGGAAGTGGAATGGCGACACCCTCAGGCATCCTCCACCACTCAAGTCCCTCTGCAAAGAGGCATGCAATAGCTTCAGCCCATGGCCTTTGGATCCTGTAATAAAGGTACTACTGGGGAGAACCAAAGCCCGTGACTGGACTCTGACACAGGTAGCTAGAAATCAGACCCCACACCAAAGAGCCAAAACCGGAATCCACCTGAAGATAGAAGGCAGGTCTTTATTTTGTGATGTGTTATTTACTTTCCAAAGTGCTGTTCAGTACATAGTTTCATTTTGATCCTCATAACTCTGTGATATGGTTATAAACAGCCCCAATCTCAAATAAGGTAAATTGAAGTCTGAGAGGTTAATCTTAAGGTCCCCGGCTAGACAGTGATGGAGCCAGCACCAAAATCAGTTCTCCTGCCTCTTAAGCTGGCACTTTCACCAAGACGTTGTTGGGAACGAGGGAAACTCCACAGTGTGGAGCTCACTGTAGGCCTTTTCCTCTTTTTCTCCTCTCATAACTGGGGGAGAAGGTGGAGAAAGCCGGAATCAATACAGAGGCTAAGTGAGCACATCGAGGCAGAGGCCAGTAGCAGAAAGTAGGAAGTGAGAAAGGAAACAGGTGGAGGTTTGCATGGACACTTCCTGTTCACAAACTTCTTATGTTCCTCATTTCATTAACAGCAGCAGTGGAATTTCATGGACAATTGGCATTGAGCACTAACTGGGAGGTAATGAGAGAGGGAGGATGCAGGTAAAGGCTGTTTGAATTTAAATTCTTTTTCTTCGGGGGAAGGAGGGGGCCAGATTTTTTTTAAAAGGCAATTTTAGTGCTGGAAAAAAGTTCCTAGAGCAAATAGCTTTGGACTTTCGTGTGCTCTGCTGGCAGCATTAGGACTGATGACTTGATATTGCACAACCCACCGTATTCTTTCTTCTACCCACCAACCTTCTGACAACTGCTCTGGATGTAGAGCAATGCCCAGGGACTGAGCATCTGACCTTGAGTAGATTTTGTCCCTCTGACTTGTGGAAACACACTAGATATGTGTCCACCATCAGCAGTAAACTAAAATGAGTTGCTCTGCAGTAGTCATTGCGGAATCTCCATGTGCAAAACTCTGTATGGACCTGGGCGTAGACGGGGGATAAACTAGAAAGAGAAAACAAGGTAGCTATTCTAGGAGTGTGTGGTCTATGTGACAAATCACACATATGTACACATGCATATATGATAGAGGTTACAACACATTCAGAGGGAGGATATAAGGGGAAAGAAGACTAAAGAGAGGAAGGGACAGAGTCACAGGGTGATTGGATCAAAAGAGTGGGGAAAAGAGGCTTTTTTGAGCAGAGCTCTGAGATGGTTGACATACAGACTGGCAAAACAAAAGAAGAACATGCCAGATAGAACCAGAGGCTTAGATGGAAATGAATCTCCACCTGAGAAGCATGGCAAGTGGATTGCCTTGGCTGGATTGAAGACTCTGTAGCCAGAAACAATGTGAAGAAAGTCACCCACGAGGGGAAAGATCTTTTGTGGAAAACCTGAATTCTAATCTTAGGATTCAGGTTATGAGGCCGCAGGAGGTGTCATAAGGTAGGCTAATCGATACAGATTCAGCTACTGGAGAGTATGAGCTGGAAGGTCATTAGTTACCAAATGCCAGGTGACCAGGGCTCTTCTGTTCTGAATGAGAGACTGTGGGCACAGATAGGACACTAAGGAGCCATTGGGACTATGATGGTTAATTTTACATCACAAAAAATGATTACATTGTGCAATGCTGAATATACTAATTATCCTGAGTTGAGCATCACATATTGCACACAGGTATTGACATTCAGTGCTCTACCCCACAGATATATACAATCAATTATGTTTTGATAAAATAAGTAAATATATAAAATCATAATAATTTTATACATCAACATGGCAAGGTCATGCTACCCAGATATTTGGTCAAACATTAGTTTTGGTGTTTCTATGAAGGTATATTTTAGATGAGATTAATACTTAAATCAGTAGACTTTGAGAAGAACAGATTTTCCTCCATAACGTGGGTGGGCCGTATCCAACCTATTGAAGACCTTAATAGAAAAAGGGTGAAATCCCTTTAAGAAGAGGGAATGCTTCCAGCAGACCACCTTTCGATGCTTCCCTGGATCGCCAGGCTGCCAGCCTCCCCTGCAGATTTTGGACTTGCCAAGTCTTCACAATTATGTGTGTTATGGGCTGATTTGTTTCCCACCGAAATTCACATGTTAAACTCTAACCCCCAGTACCTCAAAATGTGACTGTATTTGGAGATAGGGTGTTGAAAGAAGTAATTAAGGTCAAATGAAATTGGGTTAGGGTGGGTCCTAATTTAATACGACTGGTGTCCTTATAAGAAGAGGAAATTTAGATACAGACAAGTGCATACACAGAGTAAAGACCACATGAAGACACAGCAAAAAGGCAAGTCAAGGACAGAAGTCTCAGAACAAACCAGCCCTGCCAGTACCTTGACCTTGGAGTCCCAGCCTCCAGAATGGTGAGAAAATAAATCTCTGTTCAAGCCACCCAGTCTGTAGTATTTTACTATGGCAGCCCTAGCTGACTAACACAGGAATAGTGGATTGTAAACCAAAGGACCATGAGTTATGCCTGTCCCCCAGTTCATTGCCTTATGCATGGTTTATATTCACTAAATGTTGTGCTAGACTGGGCCTGGAAGCCTTGGCCCCTAGATCCTCTCCAATAAGAATAGGAGGCACAGGAGGAAGATGGAGGCAGTGGACTCAGCTGATATAGTGGAAACAAGGGTTTCAGAAGGATATGGATATGGCAGGAATTTTGTGCTCTGGTTGGTACAATGTTGACCATGGGAATCAAATCAAGTGAAGAATGAGCCATGACTGACTTATTTTATATTCTCTGGTGTGCCTAACATAATGCTTAGAACTTAACACTCAACAAAGGTTTTGTTGAATGAATGACTGAATAAGTGGCCATGGCAGGACTGGGAGATGGAGTGATCTTACACTTTTTTAAAACTGTTTAAAGATGCATCTATGCATGCATGTGCCTGGAAGTTTTCTGAAAGAGATTGCTGACGATGGTCATTTCAGGGAATCAACTAGGATACGAAGGAAAGCTTACTTTTTACTGTATACCTTTTACTGTTTATACATTTTCACCAGGAATGCATTATTCCTGGGCCAGTCAGTAGCCCATGAGGTGTGCGGACCTGGACTCGATGAGAAGAAGCAATGGGGAAAATACAAAGCTCTTAAACCCACCATTCCTCCCCCTCCAGGCTCCCCATGAAAAATCCCCAGCTTTCCCTAAGTGCTCAATCATCACATCGATTGAGACCTGCAAATCTCAGTCTTTACAAGCCACTCCACAACACCCAGAGGGAGCACAGGGTGATGATATAGAGCCCCAGCATGACAAGGTAGCTTCGGAAAAGCAGTCGGTCGAAGCGGTACAGGAGGGACAGCCACTCAACATCCTGCTGGTCCACCTGGTCCTGAGTTCGGAGGTAGTTGCTGATGGATTGCAGCTGGAACCAGACTTCCTTCAGGGTTCCTGACTGGGCCTGGTGCTCTTGAAAGATTGGGGACTCTGTGCGATAGAGGAAAAGAACCTAGATGAGCCAGGGGCTACCAAGGCCCACGTGGACTTTCCCTTGGAGCTTATGGCTTCATCCTTCAAGGAAGGCTGTGGGCAACACAGGGCAGTGGGTTGGGTTTGGGTTGGGGACTGTCCCCTTACATGCCTAGGGGAAGCAAGGCTGTGCTGAAGGAAGCCTCAGAGAACATATCAGAGGCTAGATTCATCTAGCAGATTTTATGAGCTGGGGCCAGCCCAAGTTGACTCAGTAGGAGCTTTAAGGGCTGGGCTGATTCTTCTACTTTTTCACATTAAGCAACTAAACCCCAAATGTATACAAACTCTGTGTGTGTGTGTGTGTGTGCACGTGCATGCATGCACACCAGCACTCTACTATTCTGGAGTTAATGGCTCAGTCACTTTAGGGAGTTGGTTGAAACTGGAAAATTAAACAAGCTCAGAGCAACTGAAGACCTAACCTTCAAGCTAAAATGAGGCTCTCTGCAAAGCCAGCAGGAGGTGGCTTTTGGTCCCCAGAGAGGTGATACAAAGCCCTGTGCAGAGGCTAGGAAGCAGTTGTTTCAGGTTTTCACACAGTCCACCACATGGCCTGGTGCTTCACCAATGGAAATTAGTTTTGAGAGTGATAACGCAAGCCGAGGCAGGGACCTCCAGGCTTCTCACAAACCTGTTACCGTGGCACGCTGAGCCCTGGCATCCATTCTAGGCCCATCAGCATCAGTGTCTCCTCGAAGGCACAAGAGGGGCTGCTCCTGTCCACTGCGCTGCTCATTGTGGAGGAACTTGACCAACAGGATGGACTTAGATAAGCTGAGAACCAAGAAGGCCATGCAGACTGTGAAGAAAACCCCTGAGAAGAGGAACCAGAGCAGAGCAGGTGGAATTAGCTGCAGTCTCTGGACCTTTCCCTCCAATCTAAAGTGCAACTTCAGATCTTTGACAGGAGTAGTGCAAGTTGGGTGTCTGGTGGCCAGAGGCTGCTCACCAATCAGAGGGATGCTCCCTGCACTCCGTGGCACCTCATTAGACATGTTGACCCTGAAGACGGTGTAGCCCACCAGCACACTGGTCTTGAACACAATCCTCACACGGCAGTTGAGAGGCAAGTAGAAACTCCCCAGGTCCACGAGCATTAGGAAGATGCTGGGAATCAGCAGGTTCACAACATAGACCAGTGGGCGCCTGCGAATCACCACCTGGCCAGGGACAAGGATTCTGCTGAATCGAAGCCGACAGACTAATATTTAGCCAAATTCATAGCCTGGAATGCTTGCTGAAGTCCTACCATTTTTGTATGATGTGAAAAGTTTATGCAATATATTTTAGGAATATGTTTGATGTTGTTTTGTTGTTTAGAAAATAGAAAAAAACACCTTTAAGTTTTTATATAGAGCTAATATTAATGTTAATAACTACAGGTTGAGCATTTCTAATCTGAAAATCTGAATGCTCCAAAATTCAAAACTTTTTGAGTGCCAATGTGATGCTCAAAAGAAATGCCCATTGGAGCATTTGGATTTCAGACTTCCAGATTAGGGATGCTCAATTGGTATGTATTCTGAAAATATTCCAAAATCTGAAACACTTCTGGCTCCAAGCATTTCTGATAAAGGATACTCAGCCTGTATAGTAAAAGCAGCAGCTAGCATTTACTCACCACTTGCTGTGTGGCAGGCACAAACTAGTGTTTCATGTGCTTATTTTATTCAGTCCTCACGACTTTAAGGGGTGGCTATTATCTCCATTTTACAAACAAGAAAACTGAGGTACAAAGAGGTTAAATTACTTGTCCAAACTCACACAGCTAGTAAATGAGAAACTGTTTTACAACCCAAATCTTCTTTCTTAAACCACGTATTATGTCATGTATTGTATTGTTTTCAGTTCAGTTCTCCTATCTTGTGATGTGAACGCCTAAGCACCTGTGTATCTATCAGAGTCTTTTTTTTTTTTTTTTTTTTTTTTTTTTTTTTTTTTTTTTTTTTTTTTTTTTTTTAAAA